AAACGTTTCAGTAAACCGTTTCACAGTGTTTGAGGTGGTAGAGTTCTCTGATAAAAAATCACAGCTACACACGTTAGACGTACATGCTAATCGTCTACATGGTCATTTACCTGTGAACCTTGTTACTTACCCAAACTTAACAGAAATAAACCTTGGACATAACCTGTTTTCGGGTGAGATTCCATCAGAGTATTGGTCAAGACTCCGATTTTCATGGAGAAGTCTTAACTTGGAATATAATAACCTGGAGGGATCGGTGCCTCGTGAGCTCAACAGGACTTCAGAAGGGGTTCAGGGAAATTTTGGACACAACTGTCTAATTTGTCCAAAGGGATTGCAGCTATGTAATGGACAGAGGACAGCTTCAGAATGTCATGGAGGAGACCTTAATTAGTTGAAAAAATTACATTGCATTTTTATATGTTTTCCTAGTTTTTCTCAATATAGTTTATAAGTTGCAGACTATTATTTCAATGAATAAAAGAGTAGCATCGAAAGCTCCTTAAATTTGTCAGTATATTTTATTCAGACACTCGAACTACAACACGTTCCTATTGAGCACCTGAACACAAAAAAGGGGCCAAATGACGAGGTAAGACCTACCCCTTTTTCTCCTCACGGAGTATACCTCACCATCCAAACATCTAATTACAGGGCAACTTCAAACGACTAGTTGATTGAAATCTTTTAATATTTAACTATCATAGACACCGCGAAGATCAACAAAAGACGAACCTTACATGAAAAAATACCAGCCAAATAATACAACATTTTTATGTACTCTTGTGCACATAAAAGCATATTTACGAACATGAATATGAACAATAAGGGAAGAACAAACAAGAAACATCACGAATCGTGATCAAGCTTTTGAAACTAGTGAAATATCAGAGTTAATAAATGAAATCTCTTCAACTATTTTCTCAAGTGCAATTTCATCTTTTAGTATACCTGTATGTGAAACTCCTTGTAACTTGATGACTTTAAGATGTTGATAAGTACTCTTATTTGATTCGAAACTCAACAAGCTTATCATATTAACAGTCCCATCACCATCCCCATACACAATCTCAGGCGACTTATCAAAATCCCCGTCTGCATACAACAACGTCTCGGGAGTTTTAACCCCACAACCAATTACACAAGTGATAGGCACTTGATCAGTACTAGTTACCAAATTTTCAACCAAGGGCAAGATACGCGATGTGTAAGGCAGAACCCCTTCAGGAAACCCGATATCCTTGAGGAATTCCGCGATGTCATGAGCTGAGTACGTAACATTAGGGGTAACAACAAGTGGTGATTTGGTGTTAAACACTTTTGGAGAAGGCAAAAGCCACATATTACTTTCAGAACTCCTCTGTTCTTCCCTTACGAGTAACGGATTAACTAAAGGCACACCAAGTGTGTTACCAGAAGCAAAAGTGAGCATTTGCATAACTGTTCCTCCCCATGGTGAGGCCAATGCTATAAAGTGTTTGATGTACTTTTGACTCCAGCATTTTGGATTACGAACGAGTAGTTGCTGGACATATAGACCACCTAAGCTGTGAGAAACAAGAATTACAGGTTTACCTCCATTTGAATTACTTGCACTTTCTATCAGTTCTTTCAAGTCCTCGAGATATTTCGAACCAACATGACTTTGATGACCTTCTGCAGCCAAACCATAACGAAAATCGTAGGGTGCTCCAAACAGATTTGCACCATCTCTATAGCCTATTTCTTCCAAAGCTTTCACAAGTGGCTCCATATATGCTGTAATTTTCCTAAACATGTTAAAAAAAAAAGTTGATACAAGGAATTTCTTGAGTTATTGGTTGACACAGAATCGAAATTCTTGAATCATACGTTACCATAATGGCACTATATGACATAACGCCATACTGGTAACGTATGATATTAGCATTTTGATCAACTGAGGGCATTTTTTTTTCTTCTTTATAGTGTTATCAGGACAACCTTTTTTGCACTTCAACTGGAAAACAAGATTAAGCATTTCCAACACTCAATATATTACCGCGTTTCAGTTCATATACTTGACCATGTTGACCTGACATAGTCTTTAAGAAAACTTCAATTGGATGTGTATTTTACTAAACTAAACCTACTAATGATATTTTGAAACTCCATATTTTACTACTACTACTTTATGTATTTGTTTCTTTTGGTTCAATTTGTTTGTCCTGCTTTTATCTTTGGTCCGTTCCCCAAAAAAAACATCTATTCTCTTTTTAACAATTCATTAAATTCCAACTTTCCAGATAACATTCTTAAAACCACACGATTAGAGACATATTTTTAGTTAATGACCACGTGATTCAACAATCTTTTTTACTTTCTTAAATTACGTGTCAAGTCTAAATAGGACACACAAACTGAAATGGATTGAGGGACTATTTAATACAAACAATTTGTTTAGTTGGAAACACGTTATCCCGAAATTAATTATTCCAGAATAAGTTATTTCACTGGGATAATTTGTCTCATCACTATGGTAAAAATGAAGGGATAAGTAATTTAACAACTGTCTAATACCTCCAACCAAATGCAGGATCGAGTAATTCTGCATTTTATCACAGAATTATTATTTATACCTTATACCACGTATCAAACGACAAGTGAATCAAAACAAGATGTTTTTAATATAGGGAGTATCAAAAAAAAAACCTCAAAACACAATGTAATTAGCTGATAAATAAATAAGTAGGAATCAATTAACTTACTGTAGATAAGGATTAAGATAAAGAAGGGATTTAGTAGAACCAAAATGTGTAATCCTAGTCTCAACACCAGGATCATTATAATAATCATCTAATTGTGTTTGATAATAAAGCTTCATCCTTTGATTAAAACACTTTGTAAATGGTGCCAAAAGTATACTTGGATCAAACCATATCCTAAACCAACCTTCACTATCTTTATTTAATGGATACAACTTGTTGCACAATAAGCTTGTAGGCTTGTACTTTGAAGTTAATCTTGCTTCTAATTGGTTTCCACCAGCTCCTGGTATCAAGATTAGAGGGTTGAGATTAGTAGTAATTGCTTGGCAATTAGTGGACAACATTGTTGATATTATGAATATGATTAGGACTTTCATGGCTAATTAATTAACATTGTCAATGAACAAAAAGAGGAAGGAAAAATTATGTATAAGGCAATTGGTGTAAAAATTAGTTTTGTGATTGGATAAGGATATGAAGAAACTTTGTTCTTTATATTTGTGGTAGATAATGTGTTGACGTTTGTTAATTATTGGACAAGTATACAAATATATATACTATATGCTTTTGAGATCACCATTTAAATTGTTTGTAATTTTTTTTTTTACAAGTTTAATAACTTGTTTTGGAAATAATTTAAACGTACACGATTTAAGATTGTGAAAATTTGTATTTAAATTGTGTTCACTTTGGAACTTTTTTTTACAAATTTACCTGTTTTGGAAATTATTTAAACATACACGATTAAGATGGAAAATTAGCATTTAACTTTAATGTGTAGATAATATATATATGCTTTTGAGATCGTCATTTAATTGTGTTTAGTATGAATTTTTTTTTTTTAAGTTTTACTTGTTTTGAAAATAATTTAAATGTGCGCGATTAAGATTGAAATTTACATTTAATACGCATAGAATAAATAAACACCTCTCTTTGGCTAGCACTACTAAAAAAAGAATTTTCACTTCTTTTAATATCTTTTTTCAACCTTATTTTTCTAATTAAAAATTAAATAAATTCATGAAAAATATTACTTTAAGACGATATAAAATGCTACTTGTTGATAATAGATGCCCAATTTTCAGCTTAAAAAAAAACTATTCAGCATAAAGGAATATTTGTAGCAGTTTTTATGCTCAATATTTCCACATAATGTAAGAACTTGGCTTTTTCCATTTACAACTTTTCATTTTTTTAAATAGATTTTTGTTGCCATAGAAGTTTGCAGGAAAATAAAAATATAAGTTCATTATTAATACTATTAATTATTTTTCTTAAGACCCTTATTGTTCCTTCTCCTTTTGTTAGGGTTGTCTAAGCATATTGTTTATATTTACTCCTCTTCACTAGTTTCCTCTGAACTTTGCACACCTCTTTAAGACAGTGATTAATATAAGTATGTTATCAGGATATTCAGATTCGATATATAATTTTTAAGTCTTGAAAAATAATTTGAAAATAAATAATTAATGTCAAGAGTAAAGTTTTAAAAAAAAATTCTTTCTTTTCTTTATATATTAAAAGTAACAAAAAAAATCTATTTTTCAGATAATGGACAAATAGAAGTGAATAGAGAGAGTACTAAGTTTTCATAAATCTCTTCATTTTTCTCCAACTTCTAAGATTTAGCATTGTTGGTGCAATGGTATGTCAGATTTTTCACAATCAAAATATGAAGCAACCCCACAAAGAAGTCAAAGGGGGATTCAACCAAAGTATAATTTTCTATTAAAGGGGATTCAGATTAACCTCTTTGGCCCTATCTAACTCCGCCCTTGTCTGGTTGTATCATCTGTATTGCATTCAGTGAGTGAATGATCACTATAATCCCAGAACCACACATGCAGGTTCATTGACTATGACCAGCCTTTGCCACCAGACAGTGGCTAGTTTCAGGGTCTAACTAGCAGTCTTAGCCTTACATTCATCGATGCTCTACCACGGAGTTTGCTTCGTGGAGTACACACAACATAGGTCAGAGTCATGGATGCAACTATCCCCAGTTACATGTTCACAGGTGTACATTCAGTTTAGCCTTTCAGGCCCAATTGCATGCAGCAATTTGTAGAGCAGACATGCATATGTTTTCTTCCTAGAATAATCTTGGACTTAAGAGACATGTAGAGGAAGCTTACCAGGTCTAGATGACTCACCCCACAGCAATGTGCATATACGTCTGATGATTCATAAGGCTGCACATGCAATCCAAGATGGAATTATTATCCCGATTCTGTGGAATAAGGAATGCGAGATGACCACCTCCTATATTCTCACTTCAAGAAGAGAAGCCAATTCCAATAAACATGATGCAAAGAACTAGTCAAGAGAAACATTAACATGTTTAACACGTCTATCATCAGTTTAAGGAAGTGCACAAATGAGTAATCAACATCCTCTGTATCAATGCAAATAGACATAGATGTACACTTGTCATTCCAGCATATATAACAGTAGTTCTAGTCTTCTAGAGGTAATATAACCCTATACTCTCATAATGGTCCTCTCTGTGGTGATATATTCAGCAGATGCTCAAAAAGCTGCAAGTCTCATGCTGCTCAAGTTAGGCCAATCTTGTATTTTCGGGCATAGCCTTGTGCCAGAAGCAAAAGTTACTTGGAGCACCATTAGCATGAGTTGACTTCGCCTGATGCCAGAAAATCAAATCTTATTTCTTGAATCATGCTGCTCTCCGCAAAAATAGAGCCAACATGTAAGACAATGCAGAATCAACTGAGAATAAAGCAATGATAAACAGCCCAACTAGAACAAGTGCCAGTATTGCAGTCTTCAGCTGCAGCAATTGTAGAAAGGGTTAGTTTTAACTTATATATTGATCTCGACCTCAAAAGAAAAAGGATGAACATTCTTTGAAACTATGCTTAATTTATGAGTCAAGAAGGTCAGTGCTAATCAACATCATTGAAACTAATGCTTAATTTATGAGTCAAAGCATGTCAGTGCTAACCAACATCATTGAAACTAATGCTTAGTTTATGAGTCAAGCATGTCAGTGCAAATCAACATCGTATTTAGCACATAGTAGAATCTCAAGAACTAAAAAATTTAGGTAAAATAATTTGTCCCTTCATCAAACAAAAGGGTAGATACTGTTCAATGTAAGATTTCCAACAATTAACTTCTGAAAGTCAAAATACAGCAGCGCAGAAATTACGCAATGCATGTTATTTTTAATAAGCCTAACCAAACACTGTACAAGAAATAATCTTGGCATAACTAATAAAATATTACTAATATACAATATGCCGAACGACACCTTAGTTGTTATCCTTATTTTCTAACTTGTCATCCTTCTCCTCTTAGTTGTATCCTTATTTTAACTTTAAGTCCCACATTAGTTGGTGAACATCTCCCCTTAGCTTTTGTAAAAGCCTATATAGAGGCCCTTAAGGCTTGAGGTAAATCATCTTGAATTTGAATATATCTTTTATATAAAGTTCTATTCTTTAGTTTACTCCTTTTAAGAGAGTGTGTTTCTTCTTAATGAGTAAGTGAGTCATCCTCAGTTTTCACTATCCTGACATAGAGCAGGGTTCCTAACCTCACCATTATTGGCACACCCCCGACGTTCCGGAGTCACACATCCTTGGCCACCTCATGGACTTCACTGAGAGAAGAAAAATTGAAGTTCTTCGCTTTTTTATCCTTCGTGTCTGCACCACTTCTTATTTGCACCTCATTTTTGTGGTTTTCCCCCTAATGTATACATCATTTTTATTTGCACGATATTATTTGTACTTGTTCTGATATGTCGCCCAATGTATGCATCATTTTTTTAAATTTACACCGTATCCATTGAAATATAACAGCATACTTCATATTTCAAGGACAATATACGAGTAATGTATATCAATGCCATTGTAGAAACTACCAAGAACTATAGAAATATATAGGTTCATATCCTATTCCCTTTGTAGCATCTCCAACTCTTTTTTCACAAAGATGTGTCCTTTCTCAATTAAAACTATGCCAAATATTCTGTTTTTAAGGTCGATTATGTATGTGAAGATAGAAATACGTCTGTTAAAAAGATGATAAATATCTGCTGAGGTGCAAAAATTCAAAGGATTTGGAAAATCAACTATTGTAATTAAATGTGGATCTAATCTAGATTAAGAAAGTTAACGGAGCTAGTGAGGTGAACCTTAAAAAAGGTCGAAAAATTGGGATAACAGTATTATTCCTTTTTGAATGTGAATATAAAAGACATAGATAGGGCGCAAGCTGAAAAATGGTGCATACATTAGGTGCCAAACCTAAAAGGTATTAGGATAGGTGCAAAACAGAAAGCCGTATACACTACGGACAAGTTGTAAGAAGAAATAAAAAACATATAAAATCAAAGAAACAGGACATACATTAGGGTGCAAAATGCAAAACACTCCAGCATGCCCCTCACTCCCATGGAGGCCTTACCTCAGGCGTGTGCCATGCATGCCTGCAAGCCATTGCACTCCATGGTTGCCTTGTACATTTGGCCCCACCCTTAGCCATCTCATGGACCTTAATTTTGGTGTTTGTTGTGGGTTGTGAAATTGTACAAGAGCATTTCATATGATTTTATTATATCTAAAACAAAAGTTACATTGCCTCTACATGTCAAGTTCAATAGCTAGCCCTATAAAGGGGACTAACTATATTTAGCATTTGTGATTTTGTCTTGATGACCAAGAGTTGAGTATCCTGAAGTAACAAGCCAAATGTAATGTGGAGCTGGTTACTCCAATGCACTAAGCACACAGAATGATAACAAGTGGGTGTAACACATTATCAGCACACTATATTGGGCTATTGGCCACATACACACAACAGAAGGTAAATGATATTTACCAAATAGAAAGAAAAGGTTTTACATACTAACCGTGCTTTGAAATCCAGGCCATTCTATGTACTTCAGCTGACTTGGCTGCTCAACCAAGAATTCCATTATAGATTTTGCAGCCCTGAGTCATTAACAAATAAATATTTTCCGAACAGTATTAATACATCATCAAAAACATTTCATCTAGTTAAAGTTTCACAATTCATATTATTAGAGGATCTTATAATAACATGGTGCAGCTCCATATTACCAAGTACATGACCTTAGATAGGGGGTGTGGAGGTCACGTATTAGGGTAGAAGGTTAGTAAGTATGGAGTGTTGTCTTGCTTTTCGCGGGGCTCAGACTTATTTCTTATAGTGTCTTGCTTTTAATTCCGTCATCATTTGTTGTTTATTGTGTTTAGGTTATCACAGTTGTTTAGCTTTCTTCACAGTTATTTCACTTTTTCATACCTGCTTTGATATTTTGTACTTGAGCCAAAGGTCCTCAGGAAACAACCTTTTTACCTCCACAAGGTAGGGGTAAGGCATGCGTACAATCTACCCTTCCCAGACCCCACTAGTCGGATTTCACTCGGTATTTTGTTGTTGTCGTAGAGGATCTTATAACATCCAAGAAAATAACAATAAAAAACCGAATTAAATCGCACAAGTGGGGTCTGGGGAGGGTAGAGTGAAGGAAGACCTTACCCTACCTCGTGGAGGATAATATCTAAGCAAATTAAGAATTAAAAAATGGATATCATAGACAAGGAGAAAATATTGGAGAAACTACTAAAACCTCAAGTTCTCACATCAAGATACTGAACTGCATCAAAAGGACTAAGAAGGAGATCTCATATAAACAAGATCTCAATACCTATTTCTCCATGGAAATTGAAGAAACAATTAATTTGATAAAGGGATTTGAGGAGCTTGTAGCTCCAGAAAGTTAATATTGGTCAAAAGAAAAGGTCTAATATCAGGTAAGTCGATATCTTCTCTCTCACCTACCTATACAGTTTCACTTGCAGAAACTGCGTTATGCATCAAGGTTACACGCACATACTGTAATTGACATACCGGACAGATTGCTTGGTAGCATTTATCCAAAATGGATCCTCATCATCATTGACACTAGATTGATAGTTTCTTTCTACAAATGAAGCACATTTGATAGCACGACCAGCAAGAGACAAATGCGTAATGCTTCTACAAGGAACCTGCAAATACCAAAACTCTAAGTTAAAGATGTATTATCGTCACAACAAGATACCCAATGTAATCCCAGAATTGGGGTTTGGGAAGGGTAGGATGCACACAGACTTTACCCCTACCTTTGTGGGGTAGAGATGTTATTTCCGACAGACCTTTGACTCAAGTAAACAAAGAAGTATTCAAAGGAAAATAACGACAGCAAAATAGCAAGATGAACAAAGCAAATGAAGAAACATGTATAGTAAAAATTGAAGAATAAGATACTACGTGAATGCTAACTAATACTACGAAAAAAGAAAAGAAAATAAACTAAATAAACCTTTCCAGACACAGGCTGAACACAACCATGACTTTTGAGTGTGCTCCTCTTGTAACTCACAGTATAGGATGGTAATCTTGGATAGACTCCATGAATTTTGGGGCAGAGTACACCTGATGCAAATCGATTTTTAGGAGATTGAAAAAGTTGTTTTAGATAAATTGAAGCCACAAATAAACTGAATTACATATGTGCAATGGAGATGGAACCTGTAACTAGATCCGAACGCCAGCTGGAAATACTGACCATCTCACTGATTTATCACAATGTTAGACACTTGCTCACTTGCACCGGCAAAAGTCTCTGAATGAGTGTATGAAGACTGCAAAAAGCGGTTGCAATCATCCGACATCGAAAGAGACATAGTAATGGTACTCATACAGTTGAAAAGTACAGTCATGCAGTGATCTACAGTGATGAATAATGGCATTGAAAATGTGTTACATCAAATAAAGAAAACTTCTGAATACCCTTCGTTTTTTGAATAAGAGAACTCACACACAATCAAGGATTATTCATACAGCAATATGCGAACTTAATAACTTATTTAGGGACAACAAACAAAAGTAGCCAAAACTAGAGATATGCATACACGACACAAATATACTGAATACTGGTAGCAAAGGGCAGGTTGGGTTGAAAACGGGTTATAACTCAACCATCCACTTCAATACAGATAAAAGTGGATCAGTGAAAACCAGTCTGGCCAGTTTTACATGGCACACGAGTAGGAGTTGAATTTAACATTGATTATGGTTTATTTACTAACATCAATTTTGAGTAGGAGTTCATGTGAGATAGTAATTTTTGTAATATATTTGTTAAAACGGAATTTATGTCCTTGCTATTATAGTGGTTATCTAATAGGTTAGTTACAGTGTTAACGTAAGTGCGAATTAGACAATGTGAATTGAACTTGTGCAAGTTTAAACCAATGTTAGATATCTAGTCCTAAGTAAAAATTTGAGCCAACGACGTCTAACTAGTGAAATCGAGAATGTATGAAATAATCATTACCCAATTTTCCGTTCCCTGCAACTCTTAAGTCTCATTTCACATATACCCTTCAAGTGGCCTGGTGGTTCGGGCTTGGGACTTCCATGTTGGAGGTCTCAAGTTCGAAATCCCGTGCCAGCGAAAGCAAGGGGTTTGCTTTCTGGGTCGAGCTAGTTGCACCGGGCTTGCCTAGTGCAGGTTACCTCTCGTATGTAATTTGCGAGCTATTGCATAGGAGCGGGGGTTTTTACCCTTTGCACACCCAAAGGGTAGCGGCTGCGAGTTTCCCTTGTCATAAAAAAGAAGTCTCATTTCACATATCCTCTCAAATTTCTCCTAAATACTCTCTCATTCTCCGAAAATATTCAAAATTAAATAGCTTCAGACGAAAAAGAAACAAAATTCAGCTAGCTTGCTTATAAGGCATCATCATTAAAAAATTTAATCAACTTCAGTAATCAAGACCCCTCTCTCTCTCTCACTCCCTACCCTTATCCTTCATTACGAAGCACCAATTACAACACCCCTATCATTTTTTTCTTAGGTTTCAACAACACCCATCTCAATTTTTCCCCTCGAATTCCCGGGGAAATCATTTACACCTAAAATTACTTAAATAAACACACCAAAAGCAGAAAATTAATGACATTATTGCGCAAACAAGGCTGAGTATGGAAGCAGAAAAAAATACAGAGTTTGAATTGTAACAGAAAGAGATTAGGGTATTTGTATTTGGCGTGAGAGAGATACAAGAACTTACAGTGCCGGACCAAGATAGAGACAGTGGTGGCGCAAACAAGGCTGAGTATACTGACTGTAATATGGGTGTTAAAGTGGGTCGAAAAATAGAATTTGGGTTGCATTGCATATTGCCCACCTAACATGTGACTAAATAAATGAAAAACTACCTAAATATACTTATTTTGTAATATTTAAAAAAAAAGAGAGAGAGAAATTATCATTGGAAAAAATTATTAAAAATTTTATATTTGGATATATTACTTTTTGTAATTATCAATTGAATACATCATGAGTCAGATACATCACTTTATGTGATGTATCGGAAAAAAATTGAGAAACGTATTCAAAATCGAAACATAATATATCGAGACGTTTTGAGTTGTATTTAAATTTCACTAAATATAAGTGATTTTTGTAATTTAGGAATATGATGTAATTAACTCTTAATGTTATAGAGTTTGTGCAAAATTCTCATTATAAAATTTCATAAATACCCAATTTTTAAAGTTTGTCATCACTCAAATTTTTTTAGGAACTTTCAGAATTAGCAAGTATTAGAAATATAATTAAATCTAATAGCTAATATTTAATTATAATTCATAGTTACGTGTTAAAGAAAAAGAAGGACGAGCGAGAGAGTAAAAAGAGGAGAGAAAAGGTATATGTATTGTTGTATCAATGAATGCAATATATTACAAATATGATTTGTATCAAATGAATATAGTTACATTAATCAGTACGATGAACTTAATTGTGTTAGTGAATGCTACTTTTATAATATATAACCATTTTTGCCTTGAGAAAGTTATCACATGTATTTTTATATTGACGGTATGGTTAACATGAGAAGGTTATCATTTGTATTTGTATATTAGTAGTTAATATTTGTATTATTTATGTATTAAGTAATTTAGTATGGGCTAAATAATTTTTCTAAGCTTCATAACAACTTTTTCAATAATCAACTATGATAAGAAAGAAGAAAAAGATAAATTTTAGAAGGTTTTAAGAACATTTTAACAGAAATTTAATTATTTGACATTATCACATACCTAAACAATTTTAAATATATAATAAATGATTAAAAATATCTGCATACCTTATTAAATTTGCTAATGTGAAATTAGATCTTAGGCCTAACTCACACCCCAAAAGCTAGCTCAAAGAGAGGAGGATTGCCCAAGCCTTATAAAGAGTCCACCCATCTCGTTAATCACCGATGTGGGGCTTTTGTCATTCTTTAACACCCCACCTCACGCCCAGTGCTTCGCATCTGGTGCATGGGCAATTTTAATTTTGGGGACCCCAACATCGGGTGAGACGGGTCCTGCTCTGATACCATGTGAAATTAGGTCTTAGGCCTAAATCACACCCCAAAAGCTAGCTCAAAGGGAGG